TGAGCGAGAGCATGTGGGGCAGCATCCCCAGCCCTCCCAAGAGGGGGTACCGCCCCTCAGCATCCCGGTCCCCACTAGTCCCCTGGTCCCCACCAGTCCCTGCTCCCAGCCCGGCTCTGGGGTCAGGAGGAGGAGGAGGGCATGGGCTCCGTGGTGTGGGAGCGTGGGGTACCCATCGTCGCTGCCATCGGGCGCAACTTGACCCCCAGGTCGGTGGTTGCCCCTTTGGCACGGCAGGTCACGTCACTGGCTGGCCCGGCCCTGGTGGCTGGCCCTCATTCTTCCTGAGGATGACGCTGCTGAGCTCCTGGATGAGTTTGTTGTTGATGGGCGAGGGAGGCTGCATGTTCCTCTTCCTGGGGATCTCCAGGGAGGTCTCCATGCTGGGACTGCTCCCCGGAGTGGCTGCCTGCTCCCAGTCCCTGGCCAGCACCAGGGAAGGCTCCATGTTCCTCTCCAGAGAGGCCGTTTTGGTGGGTCTGAGCCCCTGGGCTGAACCTCTGTTGCTCTCCAGGTTCAAGTCCCTTTCGAGGGACAGGGCTTTGGTGACGGAGGGACCTGCCACCCTCTGGGCTGGGGAGCGCAGTGCTGTGGCTGGGGGCTGCTCGGGGAATGGGGCTGGCATCTTGGACCTGTCCATGGGGGGCACGGCTGACAGGTCTGCCAGCAGCCCCCGCCCCAGCTCCAGTGTGGCCAGCTCAGGGAAGTTGCCCACCTCCTCATAAACAGGATCGGTGTCTGCCTCCTTCTCCTGCTGCTCCTCCAGGGAGTCCTGGTGCATCTTCATGGGCTGGGGGAGGGCAGGGAGTCAGGGTGAGGGGCACTGTCTGCACCACTCAGCTGTACCCCTCCGTCCCCCTCACCTTGCCCTCCCTGCACTTGGGCACTGCCCAGCGAGCCTTGCCCCCTTGCCGTGGGGCTGATGCCTGAAGGGGACCCATCCTCCATCAAGTCTCTTGGCTCAGACACTGTTGTCCTTTCTTCCCCCATCGATGATGGAGGGGGAGCATTTTGGTCCCTGCCGAGGCATGGTCCATGCCACCAGGCTGTAGCACCAGCCCAGCATCCCTTGGCAGAGGTCGTCTGGGGCAGGGAGGGCAGATGGGTGCCCATGCAGAGCACAAAGCCAGGCGAGGTGAGGTCCAGCCAGGTGGCCCCCGCAGAAATAACCTGATGGTGAGGAGGACCCAAACCTATTTTCTCGCATTTCTTATGTTGATCCCCTCTGGGCAACGCACACCCAACGGGAGAGGCTCTGGGAGCTGGGCTGGACTGTTGTGGTCCTGCTTGCACACACTGGGACAATTCAGGGACCCCCATCCCCGGGTATGGGACACACAGAGTAATGGGCACCCCCTGCTCTGCCACACAGCGTGGGCAGGATGGCCCGGGCATGTCTCCGAGCGCAGGTGGGATGCTGCAGGCGAGCCCTTGCTGCCGTAGCCAGGAGGCACGGTGCAAAGCCAGCAATGGACACGCTACACGTGTGTGGGTACTTACAAAGAACATGGACAAAGTCCTTCGCGTGTGCAGGCGGCGCTAGAAATAGAGGAGATGGGCAGAGGTAAGCACATGATAGCGCAGAGCAGGGTCACGGATGCCTCGGCAGGCAGAGGACAGGCAGTGGGGTGCAGTACCCCATGTACCCTCACAGGGCCCTGCACGCATAGAGAGTTGCCACGGACATGAGCACAGCACGCAGCACGCACGCACCGCTGAGCACAGGGACACACAACCAAAGCATCCATCGGTGCCAGGCGGCGTGCAACTTGCCTCCAGGGCCCTGGGGTGGGCACATGGTCTTGGGACAGGTGCATGGACCTGGGTGGGTGCATGAGCACCCGTGGGCAGGGGTAGCTGTGGGGGTTTTTACCAGGGTCTGGTTGGCAGAGAGCATGGTGGCGTCGGTGCTGTCCCCGTGCAGGGGCACCAGCGGCATGGTGCCGAACTTCTGCTTGGCGAGGTCAGAGGAGGAGCGCCGGCGCATGATCACGGGGCGCAGGTCATCGTGCTGTGCACAGGACAGGGCAGGGAGGGGTGTCATGCCAGGCTGCCCTGCTAGCCCACTCCCGTCCCAGCCCAGCCCATCTGGGTGGCACAGCCAGCCTGCACCCACCTGAGCCTTGAGGATGCCGTTGGTCCAGTCCCACAGCTCAGCCTGCCCCGAGCACACCAGGTACCTGCAGAGGAGTCAGCTGAGAAGCTTCCAGGGAGCAGGGCCAGTGGGGTCCACATCCCCTTGTCACCTTGCCTGTGAGCCCAGGGCTGTCAGGCACTACACCCAGTGGGGCTGCACCTCTGAAACTCTCTGCATGCCCAAATCGCTGCTTCAGGGCAAGGCGAGAGCTCGTCGGGCACCCATGAGGCACTTTGGCTCAGCTGTCCTTGCTGCTCTTAGAAGAACATCTCAGCCCCATGTCGGGGGCAGGCGACATGCTCAGCTGCTGCCCCAGCATTGGCAGTGTCAGGGAAATGTGGACAGGATCAGCAGGATGCACGGGTGTGCCTGGGCACCCAGCGGTGCCAGGGAGGCTGGGGCAGGGACCCCAGCTCAGGGCAGGGCGCAGGGTGCAGGAGGACCTGGTGTTGGGTGCGTGGGGACACAGAGCAGCGCTGGATGAAGGCTGGCAGGCAGCACAGCCATGCAGGTGACATGTACACCTGGGCAGGGTGGGCAGGTCCCTCTGGTGCCTGGTGCTGGGTGCTTGGAAGATGCATCTCCCAGGGGTGCTGATGTGGATGGGGAGGTAGGAAGGGTGTGTGGTACGGAGATGGATTGCCCCTGGAGCCTGGCCCCCACCTTGTGCCAGGGAGCATGTGGCCCCACCACTCTGTCCCTTGAGTGCCCCAGCCAGGCACCAGCTCTGCCCTGACCCCCAGGGCCCTGCCCCCAGCACTGCCCCTGGCTGTCCCACTCCCACTAAAACTGGGGACAGATCTCAACATCCCCCCAGCCCCAGGACGGCAGGGGCAGATACTCACAGCTGCTGCTTGTCCAGGGTCAGTGTGAAACCCCACCTGGGGAAAGGAAGAGACAGGCTGTGGGGCAGCACGGCCAAGCTGAGACACAGCCCGGGGTCCATGGGCAGTGGGGCGGGGGGCTGAGCTCACCCCACGGGCCCAGGCTTGTCACGGCTTTGGGTTGCGGTAAGGCTTGCCATGCTCCCAGTGTCTGGGTTCATGTGCCAGGTGCTGGGGGCAGGGACCAAGGGATGCATGCCCCAGGGCCATGGCCAGGGAAGGTCCCACTTACTGGGCTGGTGGCTTCAGCTTCTTCTTAATGCCCATGTAAACCTTGGCTGCATCCAGGGGCCACTCGCGCTCTGGCTTGGCACTCTGGGGAAGGAGATCCATCGGGTCAGCCCAGCTTAGTGTCAGCCTCTCTGCCAGGAGGACAGCCACCACTGTGCCACTGCTGTCCCCAGGCTCCCCCTCCCCGCCCCTCCTCCCACCCTTGGGGCGCAGGTCCATCCCTGCAGCATCCCCTGGGTACCCTCTTCTCCTTGAGCAGCAGAAAATCCGGTCCCGTATGACGAAGTAGCGCTCCTGAAACTTGTTCCCCAGCAGCTTGGGGGGCTCCTCGCGGCATTTCAGCAGCCCGCACTTGGGGGTCTCACGCTTGACACCTGCCCAGTGAGGGGAGACAGGGGTCAGGGGGGCTGGGAGCATGTGAGGGTGGCTGGGGTATTGCTTGATGCCTGCCCAGTGAGGGGAGACAGGGGTCAGGGGGGCTAGGAACATGTGAGGGTGGCTGGGGTATTGCAGGGGGATCCCACTGTGGGTCTCAGGGTCGTGGCCTTGATGGCTGCAGGGCGGTGGCCAGGGCAAGGGGAAGCTCAGGCAGAGCTGTCCCCCTCTGGGGACACACCTCGGGGCTGGGACCCTTTGTGATTGCCTTACCTGTGAAGAGACAGCTGCCCTCACCGATGGGGATCTTCCTCACCAGCAGGTACGCGGAGCTGGGCTCTGGGAGCTTGCACCACTGCAAAGCTTGCTCCAGCACCTTCTCCTTGGGGTGCAGGGGCCGCTCTGGGGAGGCAGAGACACCCTCACCACTGTGTCCCCTTCCCTGTGCCAGTCCCCGTCCCCCCTGCCACCAGCAGCAAGCCACCCCCCGTACCCCACACTTCCTGCTCACCAGCCCGGCCGTGCTGAGAGCAGCCCCCTGTGCCATCCCCACCATGCTCACCCAGCTCCCCATTCTCCAGGGCCTCAAAGGTCAGCCAGATGTCCAGGCTGGCCGCCACATTGCGCATCTCCAGCACCTGGTTGGTGAGCTCCTCCGCTGTCATTGTGGGGGACACCTGGGGCCAGACACACGGGGAGCTGCGGTCAGTGGTGGCAGGATGGGTGCCAGGGACAGGCTGCGCCAGGAGCCTGCATCCCTCCTCCCTTCCTCGGCACGGCCCTCTTTTGGGACTCACCTTCAGGGTGAC